TCACTCATTGTTTTCCCTTAACTATTCTTCAAGAGAGATGATTGGATATGTGTGTGTGTGTGTGTGTGTGTGTGTGTGTGTGTGTGTGCGTGTGCGTGGGTGTGCGTGTGTGTGTGTGTGTGTTGTGTGTGTGTGTGTGTGAGAGATTAAAATAGCCCAATTGCTTTTACAATAAACATTGAATGTGTTTAATTGAATAGTAAAGGGGTTTAACGTTAGTGGCAGGTTGTGTGTGAGAGAGAATAAATAAGACAGCCCAATATTTAAAAAAATTGTTATTCTTTTTCCCCGCATATTTAGCAACTTTCCGCATATTTCGCAACTTCCCGCCATTTCACCGCATAAAATCACATAAAAACCCTGCATGTTTAATCGCATAATCAAGGATTTTAGCCCGCATAATCGAGGATTTTTGCCCGCGTTTTTCTGGAGGGTCTAATTAACACCACTTGAAGATTTATGAAGCGTAAATGTAACAGCAGAAATAATTATATATAATAAACATATTGCTATAAACAACATCACATTTACATGGCTGTGCATCAACACTGCTAAGCTAAAAGCGGATTATTCAATCAATCAATGTTTATTTATATAGCCCAATATCACAAATGTTACATTTGTCTCATTGGACTTCACAGTTTTGGAACCATTTGTGTTGGCGTAATGATGCTTAAAATTGATTTATTTAGGAACCGCCATTTATATGAAACATAGAAGCTTAGAACAGTTGCCAGAAGTAAAAAGCTAATTAGGCTATACAACGTACATGATGGTCACATGCTGCGCAAAATATGACACAGAAGCTGACGTATTTTTGACTTTGACAAGACAAGGGAACCAGAATTGATAATAAGCCTGTAAGATGTGGAAGAAGTCTTTCCGGGTTTTAGGACTCATTCCTGAACCACTTTAGTGGCTCATTAGAAGATTTTAAAGCAACTATAAGGCATTTTATTGACTCCAAGCAACCACCAGTTACATCATTTACCAGATACTAAGTGTACATAGTAAATGTAAAACTTTCATGAACCATCTACATTAATGCTTCATGAAAATTATAATTTGTCATGTTTTGATATTTGAAATCAGGTGCTATACTTACAAAGGAAAGCTTTCTTCTGATCCTCCGTTAGATCATCAAAAACCTCCCAAAACATCTGTATGGTGGGGTGTAGAGGGGTCGTGTTGTACTTCCCCTCATAAACTGTGACCTAAATACAGTGAAACAGACAAATACTTCTTATATATTTAGCATTTAAATCAAGCATAGAAGGATGGGACAGGTTTAAGATAAAAATAGAACATGAGTAGCTCTTGTTTTGGACTGTACCTGTTTCAGCCTGGCCCAGTCATTGAAGTCTTTGCCCACCAGCACCTCCTGCAGCTCCCGTGGTCGGAACAGCTTCACCAAATCCTTGTCACACACCTGGAAGAAGCCCCGCTTGAACTCCTGAAACACACCTTCCACTGATGTGTTGAAGGCATGGCTCATGTAGGCTTCCACATACTCCTTCCTGTTCAGCAGATTAAAGTTACAAGTCAACAAGATCAGGTTCAGATCCTGTCAAGCTATGCTCTGACAGGAGGATATTGCAATCTTTGCATCATTTTCTTCAGCCTGATTAAGTTAAGACTGAGCTGGGGCTGATTATAGTTTTACACATACCAAGACTGATGTAAATGAATTAATCAATGTATTAAATATCTTTTTACAGGTTAGCGCAGTGGTTCTCAAAGTGGGGGGCGCGCCCCCCCAGGGGGGCGCAGAGGCATGACAGGGGGGGCGCGAGAGACCAGGAGGAAAAATGGTTATAAAAAAAAAAAAACATAACAAAAAAAAAAAAAATGTTTTAAAAATTATTGATTCGAAAATAATATTATACAGTACTATTACGTCTGGGTCTCTGTGTTTCATTAAAGTTTGGCTCTGTGTGTGTGTGTGGAACGAGCCATTTTGTGTGCGTGCGCGAGTGAGAGCGCACCGGTACCGGAGATCGTTGTTGTTAGCTTCTGGTGCTAGCGAGCTACGCTAACGGATATAAGGAGTTTTTTCAACAACAAAGTGGAGGAGAGTCCTCTCCTGTCAGAATGAGAGACTCAGTGAGCTAAAGGACTCTCAGTGTTATCTCAGTGGGTCTCAAACGTTTTGGTCACCATTAATGTAAACAATTATTTCCGAGGCCCCACGTTTATATGATCATT